TACTTGTCAATAGCTGAGTCCTGTACTATCCACCATGCAAAGTCTTCAAATCTTCACTGCATTTGGCAATGTTCCCTTTTCAGAATGCATCAGTACGTATTACTGAAACCTCGAGTGTGGTGAATCCTCGGCGGAACAGTGTATTCGTTAAACGAGGATCTGTCAGCATGGAACCCATCAAAAAAGTCTCTCTTGAGGACGTTTATCATGTTTATAAACAGGTTATTGATTCTAGCGTTCGGATAGAGCCACATGTCTTGACTTGTTCATTACAGCTAGGAACGGGACGATTCGGGTACATAAAGCTCGCCGAGCATAAGCAGTCAAAGCAGAAAATTGCTATAAAGTTTTTTCCGCGGCCTCAAATAAAGCAGGTCAGTGTCGAGTCAAGGAACTGAACGCAGTGTAAATGTGCTGATCTCTAGTCCAGATTTATTTTAGGTAGATTTCGTTCGAGAGTACAATTACTCTTTTTTCCTGTCTCCTCATCCACAAATAATCGATACTTATGAAGGAATGTATCAGGTGAGCACGTTAACAGCAACGTAGTAAAGCTGAGAACCATTGATAAATCCTTGAGCAAGTACTTTGGGTGCGGCATGCTGATACAATCCACTGAGTAGAAATTCGCACTTGTGATAGACAGCTAGAGTACAAATTTCATACGAGAAACAGCAACGTAGTTTATTCAAAAACTTGGAAGAAGTCTTAACTTGATAAGATGATTTTTTCTCAATTGTGTAGTGAACACTTTTGAATCACCTTTCAGCTGCTAGCACCGTTCACACTTATAGCTGTTTTGGTCGGTCATTTTTCACGCAGCTGCATGAGAGTGTAAAAAAGACTGGTCGTTTGGCATGGTCCGACGGTCTTCCGACCTGGTCCTCAGTCTATAACAATGTTTGATGACCAACATTGTGAAGCTCATTTTCGAAAGGATTTGATTATCCAAATACTAAAACATTTTCATGAGTTTCGTTTTCCCTCTAGTTTCCCTCTAGGGTAAGTTTCCAAGAACTCCGACATACTTGCAACTACACAAGAACTTATTGGGTTGTTAACTAAGTTTTGCAACTGCTTTCATGACTTCTTTTCATCTCTTTATAAGACGCACTCAAATTTTGCCCTTATGTATGACAGGCTATAAGCGTAGCTACAGTTCTACCATATTCTGACGTCGCAGTGGGTTACAGTAGGTGTACGGTATAAGGGAAAAATTATTGATAACCACGAATCTTGAAATTTTGTGTAGGTGGGTTGACTGACATGCTGATCACGAAAACGATATTAGATTTGCATGGTAAGGACTTTTTTGTGAGACTACGGTAGGTCTACGGTATGGGATCTCACTCGTAAAAAGAAAAGAGGTGTCAAATTGACAAACGAATGCGATATTCGTGTCCCGCAGGTCAAATAAACCCACAATGCAAAGTTTTGGCGGATTCTGAAATTTTGAATCTTTAGTCATTGATGCTTGTCTCCACGCAGCTTTGCGTACAGCGGCACGTTGCAGTTTGTGAGGGCGCCAAATCTCGAGATGTCTTCGAATTCCATTTCTTTCTTACTGAGCTAAATGAGCAAGCTTTTCACAAAAATTATGTACAGAGAACGGTTTGATTTTTGCTTATAATTAAGTTACACCGAATTTCGA